AAAAAAAAAAAAAATCTGATCTGTAAACATTTGATGTTATAGCATAGTTGTTAAAAAAAAAATAAAAAATTTTTTCTTACTTAAATATGTCAACCTAAATTTGTTTTTCCTTTCAACAACTTTTTTAAGCATTAGAGAAGAAATTCAAATAATAAAAGTAGAAAAGTAACGCCAAAATTTGTTGATATCTGAAGCATTCATTAATTTTGGTTCTGAACAATAATGATGATCAAAGAAATTAATCTTTGAATACATATTGGAAACTAAATGATGTGATTGTTACGTTAGTAAACGTACTCGTTTATTTGCAGTTTTTTCCTTTTTCAAAATTTAATGTAATCAGTTTTTCTATTCGATCTAAAGCACCTACAGTTCTGTTCTGTAACAGTTTAGTACTGTTCATTCTGTTCAAACTGTTTTCATAAACAAAGATTATTAAAAAAAATTTGACATTTGAGTATGCTTATCGCTCATATATAAAAACCCTGACACCTGTAAAATCCATAATCTTTTTTTTTTGTATTGACTTGAAAACAATCTAACCACTTCCCATTTAATCTGTATTGTTCTTTTTCTTGAGTCAAGAAAAATAAAAATGGTTTTGAAGACTACATTCTCAAAAATACTGTTAAAATGCTGTAAGATTTACATTTGTTTTGAAATCATATGTCATCTAAACCATTTAATCAGACCTTGATCTTTTAATGCTGACAAATCAAAATTGAAATGTTTATCTGTCAACCTTATTGCCTTTTTTTTTTTTTTTTTCAAAAAATTTGTAAACTTAACGAAATAATATATAGCATTAAACCAGTAAAAACCTAAAAGCAGTTATACTGGTTGATTAAATAAGATGAAACCATTCACCAATGTATTAGTCACCAATAATCAAACAATGCAACTACAGCAACTGTATGTTCGGTAAAATAAATTCTAGAAAAATCTGTTTAGAAAAAATGACTCAAACAGAAATACCATACATTTTATGTATTTTTAACCATTTATACTAAAATTTTATCACAAAATAAATAATAGTAAAAAATGTAATAAAAGAAAAGTAAGGAAAAGAAGTCGGTTAGCTAAACCGTAGTATAACTTATAACACCGACAACAGCTGATCACTTTTTGCAGCACTAACTGCAGAAAAGATCTTCAAACTTTTTTTCTTCTTAAACTGGAAAAAAATTGGTAAGTTAAAAAAAAAACAAAAATGGAAACAAAGAATAAAAAATTGGCTAAAAAAAAAAAAACAATGAAAGACTGGTTAAACAATTTATTAAATTGCATAAAATAAGGCGTCTTTTTTAGGTGACTATAGTTATGAAGAATATTCAAAAGCAAATTGTTTTTGCCAGTTCTCAATAGTCATTGCTGGCTAATTTCTTCAAAAATAG